TGGCTTTCGGCCGTGTTTTCTGGCCGTTTGGCTGGGATTTTGGCTCCGATTTAGCCACTGGGGAAATCAGCGTGGAAAAACGAGTCGGGAGTATGAAATTTACCTCGATCGGTGGTCGGAAATCCCTCCGGTGCGGCGGCGGGTGGCGGTGGCCGGCTTCTAGTTCGTCTTCTCCGGCGAGGGCAGGCGGCTAGGGTTTGGGGTCTGGTGTGGGGGTCTTATTTATACCCTTTTGCCTTTTGATCTCAGCCGTCCATTTTGATTTAATCTGGACCGTTCGATCGCGCGCACACGGATCGCCAACGTGGCCCGTCCCCGGTCGACGTGGTTTTGCCACGTGGCAGGTCCTGGTTGGCCAGGACTGCTGACTGGGTCTGCTGACGTGGCGCGCGCGTTTTTTTTTTCTTCTTCTTTAATTTCCCGGGCGCTACAATCGGCCTGACATGTAGATTGCCATCGTGGCTTCCTGCATGGAGCCCATGTCAGCGTATCCACCACGCGGCGTGCGGTGATTCATCGTGCCACTGACTGGGCATCCACATGGCCCGTTTTTCTCTTTTTGTGATTTGACTCTTATTTTTAAATTTCTCTTTCAAAGATATCCTACTTTATTTATAGTTTGGTCATAGTTTCTAAAATTCATTTTCAAAGACGTCCAAAATATATATTTTTTAAATAAAACAATAAAAATAATTAAAAACAAGAACTTATATATTATTATTATTATCCATAAAAAATTAAGATTTCCTATTCCGAGCCTAATTTTGGACTCAAGATGTTACAAGAAACCTATAGTAAAGACTATTTGATCACTACTATAATGTATTTATTAAAAAAAAAAAAGTTCATTATTGTTCTTTTTTTTTATATTTTGTTTATTCTTTTCATTTTTTTAATACAAAAGTTATTCATGTTGAGAGTTTTTTTTCTTTTATTTATAAACTAAATCAATTATTTGAATGGTTCCTGCATCTCTTTTTTTTTTTTTTATAAGAAGTCGTGAATTCAAACTGAATTGATTCCTATATGTGTTATTATTTAGAGATTATTTTTATTGTATTATAATAATTGATATATATTTCTCACTAATTAATAAATGTATGAATTTATTAAGAAAAAATTGGTAAAATTAGGTAAACAATTTATATATACATATATATATATATATAGATCATTTGTATACAAAAGAAGACACGAATATTATTTATATCAATTTTTAATTTTTTTTTGGATTAGCCCTCCCAAATTTAAGGCATTTATCACCTTATTCTTTTTTCAACCATGACATGTCAACAATTTATTAGTATTGTAAAAGTTAATTATTACCTCGATTGGTTATTTGGTATAATTTTATGAAATAATTTTTAATAAAAATAATATAATATTTGATATAATTTAATATAAAAATATAAAAATGTAAAATGCGAGTTTTATTAATTTGATTAATTATGGTCACAGTCTATTCTTTTACTGCCGTAGATCTTGCTATGCTTATATTGTTATATTCTTTCAATAATTATGGATTAAT